CTCCCAAAATGGAGTCTGAATGCTGGATTTATGGATAGATGCAAGTAAATCAGAGTGCCTTCTTTGCAAGGAATATCCCTGGAAGCCGATTGTTTTATGGAGCCTCTGCAGGCAGGAAACTTCCTGGGTCGGGATGGGATTTCAGATCCAAGCCCTGTCACTGTGGCCAAGGGGAGCAGGGAGGGAGCAGCCTAGTTGGGAGCAGAGCCTGGCCTTTCTGCCTAGACCCCATTTCCGTCACCGTCTTGGCAAAGGGCATTTCTTGAAGCGCTCTGAAAGGCTTTGCTTTTGTGCTCTGAGAAGTAGAAAGAGATTTGGAAGCCTTGGAAGCTTTCCCAAATGGAAGAGCTGGTTTGCAGCCGGGTTGACTGGAGCAGTGTCCATGGACAGGCAGGGGCTCTTGCCTGCGCTGCAGGAGCTGCCTTTCCTCCATCAGCTCCCTTTTTCCGGAGGGTTCCTCTTTTCCCTATCTTTCCCAACACACCAGCTCCTGTGGTGTTTGGATATGGCTCTTTCCTGTATGCTCTCAGCAGCCAGCCCTTGATCTGGGCTGAGAAGAAAAGATGCTCCAGGCAAACTTGAGGATTTGGATGTGGCTCTTTCCCACCTTTGAAATGCAGATATCACATGAGGTGATTTATTTCCATTCCCATCCCAGTGACTTGCAGTGCGGCTTCCTAAAACCAGCTTTGCCTTTGTAACCCTGCAATATTTTCTTGTAACCCTGGAATACTTTTCCTTGACTGGCCTCTGCGAAGGAAAAAGGGGCTGTGACGTTTTACTGCTTTCCAGTAAAACAACTAAAAATTGGAAAAAAAGCCCTCAGTGTCACTGACAGTTGCTGCTTTCCTTCTGAGGAGGAGGGATGCTGGGGGACCTGCTGCCTCGTCATGGGAAAGCGATGCCGTCGGCATGCGGACGTTCGCTTTTGCTCCGTGCATTCCCGGCAGGGAGGAGACTTCCTGGGAACGGCGTCCTCGGCATAAGGAAAATCCCACCCTGCGCAAGGGCTGAGCAGAGGCGTCTGCTGCAGCCGGAGCCTTGCGGGATGGGGGAGCGCAGGGACAGCGCGGTTGCCAGCAGGGATCTGTGGCCGTGGCCAGGACCTTCCTCCAGGGGATCCTATTTGGGGCTTCCTTGAAATTCCAGAGCAGTGATGTGTGTGAGGAGGGAGGAAGGCTTTTCTTCCTCCTCACTTGGACTTAATCCAAGCCTAGGAGAAACAAAGGGCTTCCTCAACAAGCTCCCTTTACTGGTCTTGTCCTTTCCTGAAGGCAGCTTCTCCTTTTGCACCCACCTTGCTGCCTTCATCAGTAGATATCTATAGGGAAGGTCCTGTGACTGCCCAAGGAACCCCGAGGTGCCAGCCCCCCTGCTTTGACCTGTGAGTGTGGGGACCCTGGAACAGCAAGAAGTGGCACCCGTAGGTGGTGGCAGATGGCACCTGAGTCACAACAGAGCTATTTAAATACAAAACCATTTAGAGCGCTGCCCTGGGGTCTCCCCTGCCCACTCGCTTTGTCATTCTCTCCTTTTGCTGAGTCGTCATAAAAATGTCCTGCCCTAAAGCCACCGTGTCCCGCTGGCAGTCGGGCCCCTGCCCACGGGCAGCTGAAATGTGGAGCTGCCAGCGGCAACCGCAGCGTCTCGCAGCCCCTCTTTTTGGGTCTGCTTGAGGGTTTTCCGTGTGTGTCCCCTGAGAGCATCCTGTGACCCCAGGGGAGTCGCTAGGAGCACCCAGGTGGATTAAGGGAAAGGAAGAAAACAACAGCCAGCTGCTAGACAGAGCAGGCAGGCAGCCGGCTGCTGGGCAGCGCCCTAATGAGTGTGATGGGTTAATTAGCCCTGGCTCTGAGCTGATCAGCGCCTGGCGCTGCCCCTGCCCGGCTTCCCGTGGCCCCTCGCAGCATGGGCTGCACTAGCCCACGTGCGTCTGTGTGTGAGAGGGACTGTGAAATACCCTGAGGCTGCCTTAGAAACCACTGGCTCGCTAAAAGAGAAGTGCTTTCGGGTAGTAGTGGGTTGTTTTTTTGGAGCCTGAGCGCAATTGTGCTTTCTGTGCATTTGTGTTAGTAGTTAGAAACTTGCCTATCTTGCTCATCTCCTAGTTGCTTTTAATTAAATGTACGATTCTCATTGCAAATCTTGAATTTTCAAAGGCAGAACTTTAAGAGAAAAAGAATGCATGGATGCCATGGCTGGAAGGGACCTTGCATCGACCCGCTCCATGTTCTTGTCCCTAGCTTTGTCCTAGCAGTCCCTTACAGAAATGGAGCTGCTTTTCATCCCTACTGCTGCCTCGCTCAGCAAACCCTCACTGTGCCCAGCTGGCTCTGCTGCTGGGCTCAGAAAATTGCGGAAATCCTCCTTTTTTTGCTGTGTCTTGTTTGCCAGTTGTTTCACATCTTATCTGTCCTTGTGTCAGCTGGGGGTAACTCACTTCCTCCTCGCAGCTGCTGCTGTTGATGTATCTGGAAACTGTTCCCATGTCCCCATCTCTACCATCTCCCCCTTGGGCTGAGCCACCGCTCGGTGAACCCTCCTGTCATCCTGCTCTGCGCCCGCCGTTCCCCCTTCCCCTGATGTGCAGCCGTCTGCAGACCTAGTGCCTATACCTGGGTGTAGTGGAGACCACAGCTCGCTCTGGGGTGGCCCTAGGGTGGAGAGGTCCGTGATTAAAGCCGTGGGAATTGGGGCTACCGCAGGCCAGAGGCTTTTGGTGGAGCTGCAGAGACCCGAGGCTTTCCCGCGAGCTCTGCAGACGGGTAGCGGGGCGAGGACCCCGTGTCGTGCGTCAGGCGGCCCCGCGCTGCGTCACCCCGTGACGTGCGGCCCCTCGGCTGCGCCCGGCCGCGGCGGGGAGCCCGGGGGGGGTTCCTGGGCCCCGTGCCGCCCTCCGCACGGCCGCGCTCGCGGAAACCGCCGCCGCTGCCTCGGCTTCCTGCCCGCTGCCCCCGTGCGCCACAAATAGCCCCTTCTCAGCCCACCTCACGGCACCTGGGAAGGTGCAGCAGCTCTCGCTCTTCTAGCCACCGTTGTCACCTCGGATGAGGTTTCTGTCTCCCCGTGGCCGCTGCTGCAGCGCAGACGACGGCGCGAGACGCCTCTGTGCAGGGATGGGGTTTGCCGGCGTCCGAAGAGCCGCGGGGATGTGGGAGCTGGTGCAGGACGTGGCTCGAGGCTGTGGCAGCGCGGCAGAGGGGCTGCTCCCGGGACGAGGACGTGTCCCAGTGAGGTTGCACACAATTATCTGCCAGTGAGGGCAGCGGTAATTGCCGCAGCGGTAATTGCCGCCCCGGCTGCGGCTCCTGCCAGGTGGCAGTTGTCATCTGGAAAGTCCCTGGTTCTCCCTGGCAGGCAGGTTTTGTAAACAGGTCCCGGGGATCAGCGCCGAGTCCTAGGCTGGGCCGAGCCGCTCGCGATGGGAGCGCTGGGGTGAGGTTGGGGAGGTTTTGGGAATGAGCGTCCCCCCGTTCCGCGGTGACTCTGCTCAGCACCTCCCAGCACGGTGAGGGCTAGTGCCGAGGAAGAGTCCGTAAGAGGTTCAACCCCACTCACCAGCCATCCTCCCCAGCCCCTGGCATCGCCAGGAGAGCTGCATCTGTTGGTGCTTTGGGGCTTGTTTTGGGTTTCTGATAAATTAGGCTGAGATTTGCAGCAGCTGCTTTATTGGCCCTGAGGGAAGGGCGAAGCTCAGCAAACCTGCTCAGCTGTCCCTAGGTGAGACCTTAGCAAGAAGGAGGTCTTGGAGACCTATGTGTGCAAGGAATTGAAGGAAACGCCTATTCTGCACCGTGCGGGGTGTTTCCTTCCTCAGCCCGTGCTCCTGGGCAGGTGTTTGCTGGTTTCTCTGGTTAATTCGGCCTGGTCTGGCTGCTGGTGGGCTCAGCCCATGGACCTGCTGGCGAAGCTGCTCCCTTCCTTCCCTGGGAATATGCAAGGAGCTCCTGGTGGGGCTTCCTCGGCCTGAGCCGGTGCCGGGAGCTCCTGGGTCCATCGATCTCACCCGGCCTTTCTGCTCCCCACGTGCTGTAGAGTCTGCTTCTCATTTAAAAGCTGAGGTATCTTTGTCCTGCAGCACTCAAGAACAGGGGGAAGGGATTTGGTTTATTCTGAGTTTAGCCCTCTGAGTTTTTTTTCCCCTCTGTTGACAAATATTTGCGGAAATTCTTTCTTGATAGAGGAGCTTTTTGGTAAGATTTGGGCAGTTTGGGTGTGTGGGTCTCTTTTGGTGGTTGCTTGCCCTCACATATGGCAAGATATTGTAAAACGGGGAAGCAATGTTCTTTCACTTCAATCACTTGCAGCTTTAAAAGTGGGGGAGGAGCCTACAGAGGGAAATAAAAGCCCAAACATCCCAGATCTGTTTTGCAGAACCTCTTGTCTGTAACTCCCCAAACTTAGAAGGATCCAGTTGCTTTTAATCATCCATCCACATGCAGGAAAACCCTGGGGTTCTGAGCCCAGCAGGTAGTTGCCTGTGGTGGGATGTCCTGCCCTAGTCGCCCCATGGATGCTGCTGCCATCCCTGCTGCTCCCAGAGCTGTCTGTGCCCGAGGAAGTTAAGGCTTTTGCAGCTGTAGAGAGCAGCTCTCCTATGAGAGCCCTTCACAAATGTTTGTGCCCCCAAGACATCTCGTGCCTGGTAGAGCCGTCCCCAGCGATGGGGATGGCTCTGTGGTAATGGAGTGGGCACCTTTCCATTACTGGTGGGTCTTGTCCCTGCGGGGACAGCTCCTTGGGGGGAATTCCTGTGCCTCGTGGGGCAGCAGCCGTCCCCGATGGGGTTTGCTGGTGATGCGTCCTCGCGTGACGTTTCTCATGCGCCTGAGTCACCCTGGCACGTTCACCCAGCCCAGGCAGACCTGAGGGGAGGCCACAGAGGGAAGAGCCTCCGCCTGATGCAGCGTCTGCGGGAGCCGGGCCCCACGACGCTCCGGAGGGGCCCACGGCGCCGGCCGGCACCCGCGAAGGTGACTCTGTGTTTTGTTGCCTTGCAGGGATGTCTGGTTGGGAGGCAGGCGATTAAACAGCAGACATGGAAGGGAGAGGACCCTACCGCATCTATGACCCTGGTGGGGGGATGGAGGAGAAAGGATCTGTGACTTTTGAGCAGCTGGTGGAGGAGAACACCCGGCTGAAGGAGAAGATGCAGGGGATAAAGTCCATAGGTAATGGCTGCACGGGCGGAGGAGGGGGTTTGCCTTCTGTGGGGAGCCTGACCCCTTGCTCTGACAACCTCCATCTGGCAGCCCAGCCTGCGCTCAAGGAGCACAACTGTTTGTCCTGCCCTGTTTGCTAAGGCGGCTGACAAGAAGTCAGGAATCCTAATAGAAATGCAGCAGCAGAGCAAAGCTCTCACCCTCCTGGTAGCTCAAGCAGAGCTTCTGGGGTTTTTCATAGCAGGGGGGCATTGCTTCCATATTTGTGGATGGGCTTGAGGGTTTTTGCTGAATTCCTGGGGTGCATTGCACCGTGATGAATGGCTGGGAAAGAGGGGAGCGATGGAACGGCAGGAGCTCCCCTGCATCCCTGGCTGTGCCCGTGCCTGGGCACTGCAGATGAGCAGGGCTGCCCTCCTCCTGCCTCGCTGCCTCCCTCTGCCCGGCTCTGTTTTTGCTTTTGGTCTCGTGACCCAGTTTCTGGTTTCGAGTCCTACTTCTGCAACTGAATTTCCACTCGTCTTGTGATTCCCGGCGTGCAGGCCGTGCCCTTACCTGTGGTGGGAGCTGCCTCACCTGGGAGCAGGCACGTGGGCTGGGGAGAGGGTTGGATTGCGGTGCTGGAGCCCTCAGCTTAGGGGCTGGACCCCTCCATGAGCCAAGCTTAAACCCGGCTCTCCTGGAGAGAGGAGACTCGAGGCATGCAGCGCTGCAGCTCTCAGCTGTAACCTGCCTTCCTTGTGTTTGTGCGGGGCACTCTGCAGCCGTAGGAGTAGCTCAGCTGTGAGATTTGATCAGGAAGAGCTATTTTTAGATGAAAAGGGAAAACCAAAACAAAGCAGAAATGTTCTGGGCCCTTCTGCTCCTCCTGCCTGCAGGCAGAAGGGATTGGTACTGATGTGGCTGCCCCAGGGTAGGCGCTTGGAAGGGCGGGTGAGCTCAGGTGAACGTGAACATCTTTTTGTTGCCCACAACAGGAGAGCTGCTGGAAGAGTCCCAAGTGGAGGCATCCAAGCTGCGGCAGAAGGTGGAGGACCTTGTGAGACACAAAGAAATGCTGATGGCCTCATCATCCTTGGACAAACTGGTGGAAATGGGAGGTAGGAGATGGGAGGACTGCCCAGGCCTCCTGCACAGCTCGGTCCTGAGCTAGGGGAAGGGAGAAGGTGCAGCACCAGGTCTGGAAGAAGATGCCTATGAGGCTCTTTTCAGGATTGCTCGCCTCTCAAAACAGCCAGACTTGGCTTCCTTTGCATCTCCTGCAACAACTTCACTCTCTTGCTTTCTTTGCCTGTGCACAAGTCTTCTGCATTGCCAGAAATGCACATTAGAGCTAGACTGACTGAATTCCCACACGTGGGACATGTTCCTTGGAAAGTGGCAGTGAGGAGAGTACAAGCAGCTCAGGATGTGACAGGTGCCCTCCCATCCATCTCCTGACAATCTAGGATTTCCTATAGCCTCTGGAGCAGCCGCGAAGGTGTCTGTGCTCCTCCATGCTCCCCTGGCCTGGGAAAGACCAGACACAGCTTTATGGGCAGGACATGGTTCCTAAACCACCAGCTCATGGCTAGTGGAAACAGGAAGGCCAAGCCACACGGGTGTAATGGGAACAAGAGATCATCCTGCCACAATGCAGAATTTCCTAGCGTGTTGCCTAGCTCCTCAGCAGTGAGCTCAGTCTCACAGGGTGATGAGCTGGGACATTGCTTATCTTTAGCCAGGAAAGCAGAGGTAGCTCCAGAGTGAATGCTTTGCTCTGCCACGGTCAGTGTTGCATGTCTGGTGTTTTAGGGCAGTCTGCAGTCTTCTCTGCTCCCAGGAGCCTGAACGTGAGCTCAGTCGGAACCAACTGGGGAGCTGATGGGCAGAGCTCCTGCACCTGAATCTGTCACTGTTTATTTGAGGCTACCTGGAGCAAAGCAGCTCTGCAGGGTGGTGTGAAGTGGCAGCGGTGCCATGGGTTTCACTTGCAAGGGAGGGTCTGATAGGCAGGGCCCAACCATGGCCACAGCTCCCGGTGTCTGTTGACCTCGGCATAAAGGGACAAGATTCAGCCCGTGTGCTCTTCTTTGTCCCTGGACTGCTTTGCTCTGAACATGCTAGTCTGCAGCTGGTTGGATCGAGAAGGATCCATGTTCACTGTGTGTCCTGCTGCTGGGGAGTGCGTTTGGTTTTCCCCATGCTAAACTTGGAGAGGACAGGCACAAGCCACCACCAACATCCAGTGAAAAGGTACTGGTGCCACTGTCCCACACAGTCATACCTCCCTTCTCCTGGAGGGAAGCAAGCTGGGAGCTGAAGAAGAAGCCGTGTGTGTATCTGACCTCATGCCTGGTCTCTGTGCCCCTGTGCAGGAGGGGAGAGGACCTGCTCTCCAAAACGCTTATGACTGCATCCTTCTCCCTTCCACAGCCGGCGGCCCTGATCCCAACGCCATCCTCACTGCTCCGGGCGGTGCCCAGAAGCAGCTGAATGCAGAAGTGAGGAAGTCTCCTCTGAGTGTAAGTTCGGTGAAAAGCAAGCGCTTGTTCTGAGAGAACCCAGAGGGAGAGACAGGCTGGCTGGTTAAGAGCAAAAGAGATGGTCTCTGCTCTCTAGGAGCAGGAACAAATGGGCAGGGCTCAGCAGCTTTCCCTACTGTTTGCCCCTCCTGGGCTCCCAGGACAGCAGAAGCTAACACTGCTGCAGAGCTGGGGACCAAGAGCAGGACCTACTGTGGTTACTGAAGGCCCTGGGCTCTCCTGAGCTGCCCACACAGAGATGCTCAAAGCTGTGTTCACTTACAGGAGGGTTGGGGGAGCCCAGGGCAAGGCCACGCTCCTGTGCCGGGTGTCCCTGGGGTTTCCCTCCGCACAGCGGAATAGCAGGGAACCTGACCCTCGCTGCAGGGAACCTGACCTTCTGCCTCCTGTTGCAGGGGGCCTCGTCGGAGTTTGAGATCGTTCCTGCTGAAGCACAGGGCTTTTTGCAGGAGAGTGGGAGAACGGTGAGTGGCCTGGGTGCCTTGGGGAAGCTTGGTTAGGATGCGGGACGGGAATCGGTCCGGGGTGAGTGGGAATGTGTGCCCGGGAGGGAAGGAGCCGAGTTGTGCCTTGGGAGCAGAGCCCTCCTCAGGCTGCATGGGGAGGTTGGGTTTGGGCTGTTCTCTGTGCCCCTTCACTGGGGGCAGGGTGGCAAGGGAGCGATGGTGCCCGCCTGAAGCTCTGCCCTTCCTGATGCTGAGAGTGTGGCGCTGTTTTGTCAGGGGCCTTGGGGTGCAGGTAGGGAACGGCGGGGTGGCTCAGCACCATGCAGCAGCTCTGCCTGCTCGGCTCTCCTGGCCATTCCAGCTGGGCTCAGGAGCAAGCCGTCCAGGCGCTGCTGGCAGGAGCCGCCTGTCCTGCGCCACTAGCCGGCGGATCCCTGTGGATCCACCCACGTTTCCGCCCATGGGATTCCCTGGGGCAGTCCGGGGGTGATAAACCCCAAGGTCAGGGCGCTGGGGATGCCCTCGGGCTCTGGCCCCGAGGGAGTTTCCGAGGCCGCGGGTGAGTCAGTGGGGCAGGGAGCGGAGCGGCGCCCGCCGTGTTGTGCACACACGTCGCACGTCTCTTAGGTGGTGCCGGCGCTCGGCGCCCGCACCGAGGAGGGCAAAGTGGCACCGGGCTGTGCGCCGTGACGCTGCTGGGCGCTGTCATTCCAACCCTCCGCTGACGGGCTTTAAATCCGGTGCGGTTTTGCTCTCGGCTGCTGCGTGCCGGAGAGCCCGCGGTGCCGGAGAGCTCGTGTTGGCCAGTGCCTACGTTGGCCAGTGCCCACCGTGCTGTGGTGGACAGGGCTGCTGCAGAGTGATGCCAGAAGAGGAGAGGAAGGAGGAGGTAGGGGCTGGGGTAAGACCTGGGGCTGAGGTTGGAGGGAAGCCGAGACCTTGGCAGAGCTGAAGGAGAGAGGTGGGAATGTGGGCATGGAGGAGCAGCCCCGACCTGCTCAGAGGAGGCTGGAGGCACTTGGGGTTGTGGCTCTTGTCCCTAGTCAAGTAACACGTCACTCCTGCTGGGGTGGGAGAACCTGTGTGTGCCAGTGTCCCCATCAAGGAGTCCTAAGGGGCTGTGTTGGTGGCAAGCACGACGTGTGGGCTGCCACGTGGGGTGAGAAAGATGGACCCTCTCCTGGAGGGACAAGGAACTGGCAGACAAAGCTTGGCTCCCAGAGCAAGGTGGGTCTGGAAGGGCTGCGATGACCCCAGCTGTGGGGAAAGGGCAGTCTCAAGACACAGGATGGTTTCTGTCTGATCTGGTATTGCAGGGCATGGTGCTGACTGCTCCAGGAGGGTGGCTGAGGACCCTGCTTTGGGAGGCTGAGGAGGGAAGGGAACCAGGGATGGAGATTCTTCCTTTACTATCAGAGTCAGAAACTGCATCTGCTCAGACTTTCAAGGTGGGGATGAGGTATCCATGGACTCGGGGAAGCTATTTTGGTAATGCCCTACCTAGGCACTTGGACCCAAGTCCAATGGCTGTCAATCAGGCCTTCATAAAGTACATAAAGTTTTACTTTACCACACCTAGAGTTATTGCAGAGTCTTCATCTTCAGCAGTTTGAAATGTAGCAGCCTGGAGAGCAGGAAAGCTGTGAGTTGCTGTAGAGGGTGTCAGAGCAGATGGCCGTGGCAGTCCCCTCTGTGTCTTGTCTCCTGCACAGGGCGAATGGGTGGTGAAGAAGCAGGGCTGGGCCAGCAGATTATACGTAACCTGTGTGTTTCGAGGTGTTTTGGGGCGCAGTGCGGGCAGTGTACCCAGCATAGCAGGCCCAGGTGCCACTAGAGGGAGATGTGTGAGCGAGCTGCAAGGACAAGGCTGGAATGCGCCTGGCAGCAGGGCTCAGTGCAGCCTAGCTCCGTGCTGGGCCAGCTCCTTGCCACAAGGAGCTGATACCTGTCGGAGGGGGCAATGCAGACCTGTCACAAGAGGGGACTTTGTGGCACCTTGACCCTCACTGACCATCGTGCTCCGCGCTGACCATCGTGCTCCGCACTGACCACCGCGCTCTGTCCGCTCCGCAGGACCTGGAGCAGCTGCCTAATGAGGAGGCCAACCTGCTGCCCCAGCTGCAGCGCTTGGAGAGCACCCTGAGCGGCTGCACCGAGGAGGCCGGCAAGAACCAGGTCTTCGTGCGCCTGGGCCACATGGCCTCCGAGTTCAACCGCCTGGCCTCCAAGGTGCACAAGAATGAGCAGAGGACGTCGTTCCTGCAGGTGAGGCAGGGACGGCTAGGCTCTCTTTTCTGCCAAGCCCTCCTTTTGCTTGTGCTGCGCTACTGCCTCCTGCCCCTGCCTGCTGTGGGTCCCTTCCCTGGGCCCTCTTGCTGCTGCCAACCAAGGAGCAGATTCCCAGGGATGGGCACCATCCTGCAGCCACGTTCTTATCCAGGAGACTTGGTAGGAACTGGGTGGCCAAGGAGGTTCTTGGAACCAACAATTTTATTAAAGGGAGGGTATTCACCTGTGATAATGCCCCAAGGAGTCTCATGCTGCCAGCATTTGCCCCACAGACGCTGTGCGAGCAGCTGCGCAATGAGAATGAGGAGCTGCGAGCCAAGCTGGAAAGGGACCTGGAGCAGAGAAACCAGGCCCTGGAGAAGCTCAGGTAAGGACTGATAGGGTAGGGAACAGGGCTGTTCTAGCTGCCCCAGGTGTTTCTCCCTCCCTGACCCAGTCTCTGCTGTGCAGGTGTGAGAACCAGGAGCTCCGGAGGATGGTGATGCTGAACAGCAAGGAAAATGCCAAGAGGGAAGGTGCTGACCAGCAGCAGGTAAAGGGACAGTCCCTCTGCCACCTCAGCAGCACTGTCCTTGGGGAGAGCTGGCAAGGAAGCAGGGAGTCTACAAATCACAGCAAAATGACTTTAAGCAGGGACTCTGTTTTCCAATTTGTTCCAGTGTGACTGCTACAACTGTTGAGTGACTTGGCAGGGCACAGAAGGCAGAGACAATGACAGTTACTTATGTCTAGCTGGTGCCTGTGCCTGGCCTCTGCAAAAGCCCTGAGGGGGCCTGTGTCTCTGCTCCCACAGAGCGGAGCCGTGATGGAAAAGGTGCCAGGCAGAGGAGGCCTGGAGGCCAAGGAGAAGAAGGTGAAGATCCTGGAGCACCAACGCAACGAGGTGAGGATAGATGGTGGGGAGAGCTGCTGGGCTGGCTGAGGGAGGGAATGGGATTGATTGGACTGTGGGGCGCACTGCTGGGATTGCGCTGGTTAGATGGTGTTAGGGGCCAGAGGAGGGGCTGTGGAGCAGCAGGAAAGCGTTGTCTGGAGCAGGGATCTCCATCCAGCTCATTCCCAAGGTGTTTTTGTTGGAGGGTTTGTGTAGAGCAATGGGAGGTTGTCTAGGGCTAATGTGGGGCTATGCGTTGCTTGGGGCTGGGCTCACGTTCAGCCAGTGCTTCCTCCCTGCAGCTGCTGGAGGTCAATAAGCAGTGGGATCAGCACTTCCGATCCATGAAGCAGCAGTACGAGCAAAAGGTAAGGCCCAGTGCTCAGGGCTGTTTGATTCTGGTGGGCACATCTGGCCAGGGGTGGTGTGGGAAGGCTCAGAAGAAACTGAGTGTCAGGAAGGGTGTTCGGGTTCAGCTCTGCTTGTTCTGCCTCCAGTGCAGCCCTGTCTGGTCCTGCCACTGGAGCTGGCTGGACCGATGTCTCTTTCCCTCCTGGCAGATAACAGATCTGCGCCAGAAGCTGGCTGAGGCCCAGAGAGCACGGACCGAGCTGGAGTCAGAGCGGGAGCAGAAGCAACGGGACTTTGACCGCAAGCTGCTACTGGCCAAATCCAGGATTGAAACGGAGGAGGTGAGTCCCGGTGAAAGGAGCCACCGGCCCTTTCAGCCCACCAGCCACCCTCCCCTGGCTGATTTCCCTCGTGGCTCTTCCAGGCAGAGAAGGACAGGCTGGCCGCAGAGGTGAGGGACCTGCAGCAGAGGATGCGGTTCCTGCAGGAGCAGCTGGCTCCAGTCACCAAACAGAGAGAGTATCAGGAGAAAGAGATCCAGAGGCTGAACAAGGTGAGGCCTGTGACACAGATGGTCTTTGCAAAATGTCTTTTATGCTCTTCAGCTGCTTATGCTCTCTCAGATCCCAAACTGACCCTGATCCCTTCCTGCCTGTGCTCTGCTCTGAGCCCAGGAGGTATCAGTGCTGTGGAGCTCAGCTTTCCCAGTCTCCTCAGATGTTCCCACCTGTGGCTCCTTGCCCAGGAGGCCTGGAAGGAGGCACCTGCACTGCAGCAAAGAGCCTCACCTGGGCAGTACCCATAGTGGCTTCTTTGGGACCGTGTCCATCAGTGTCTGCTGCTCTGTGCTCACCCGCTCTCTGGGAGAGGCAACAGAGGGAGCTTCTGTGGGGCACAGGAGACCACATCCCTTTGCCCTCTAGAGAAGCAGGGACTGCTCTGCCTGCTGATACCTGCTTCCCAAGCTGCACATGCACCGTGGCCCTCCAGAGATGCCTCCTGCACCGTGCTTAGCCCTGACTGCTCTCCCTGCTCCTCTTCTCCCCGCTCAGGCACTAGAGGAGGCCCTGAACGTCCAGGCCTCTCCACCACCCGCCTTTGCCGCTGCTGCGGAGCCGCTTGGGAAGATGCCACGGCAGGAGCTGCTCACTCAGAATGAGCTCCTCAAGCAGCAGGTAGGAGCAGCCCCTTTGCTGCACAGCTAGCAGAGTCAGGGAGGGAGAAAGGAGCCCTGGCTCCCCTTGGCTTGGAGCAGCCCAGCAGCCTGAGGAGATGTCCCTGCCATGGGGTGGTGGGAAGAGGTGAGCACAGCATCCTCCAGGCCTTAGCTGAAGGGATTGCAGCCGTGGGCTGCCAGGAGCCTGGCTTAGACTGTGGGGACAAGGACAGCAATGGAGACACAGCGTGTGCTTGAGAGGAATCTGCCCTCAGCTGGGTGCATCCATATCCTTTCCCCTCTGCCAGGTGAAAATCTTTGAGGAGGACTTCCAACGGGAAAGGAGCGACAGGGAGAGGATGAACGAGGAGAAGGAAGAGCTGAAGCAGCAGCTAGAGAAGCTGCAGAAGCAGCTGGCAGTCTCCAACAACCAGGTGAGCAGCTCTGTGCAGCACTGCCAGCTCCTGGGAGCCCCCGTGTGCCTTGAGAGGTGAATTAGAGGTGCTCTTCACCGTTTCCTGGCCCCTGACAGCACTGGGGCTGCCATTGCCTTCTTGGAGCACGGGATGAGAACAAAGCAGAAAAACCAGAGTAGTGGTTTCCCTCCGTCCTGTCCCCACAGCCCCCTGGGCTGGGCCTGGAAGGACCGAGGTTTGTTTGGACCTGTTGTGTGTGGGTGATGCAAAGCTCCTGTCTGTCAAGGAAGAGAGAGGCTCCTTTTGAGAGGCAGCCTCACCAGGAACCTGACTGTGCTGCTAGGGAGGATTTGGGGCCATCTCCCTGTGCTTTCCCCTTCCTCCTATGGGAAGGAAGAATCCTCCTGCGGGACTGACTGAGGGCCACCTAGAACCATAGGAGAGTAGCAGCCCGTGGCTATCACTGTGACAAAAACAACAGCCTGTCTCCCATCCCCTTCCTCTCCAGAGGAAGGCAGGCTGGGAAGCCTGGCTGTAACCACAGCTCCCCACTGTTGGCTTGGGGTTTTACCCGCTGGTGTGGGCAGTCCTGCAGGCCTTGCCGCATCCTGTGCCCCACGGGCACAGGAGAGGGCTGGCAGGGTGGGCTCTGTGCTAACCTGCCCTCTCGCTCCCAGCTGCGCGTCTCCAAGGACGACTGCCAGCGGGAGAAGGAGGAGAAGGAGAAGCTGAAGAAGCTGCTGAAACAGCACAAGCAGGTGGGGAGGACAGAAACCCACCCTGACCCCGGCTGCAGGGGCTGGCTGGCCAGTGCTGGCAGTAGCCCCTTGACTGCTGTTGGTCTGTGTGGGTTTGGGGTGCGTTTCAGAGAGGGAGAGGTGGGTCCTGGTGCTGCTTGGTGTCCGTGGCTGCCCCCAGCCTCTTCAGCATCTCTCTTGGCTCCTTGCAGGCTTCCGGCGAGAGGCTGCACCCGGAGCCCCTGCCAGGGCCTATGGGGCCCGCCTGCCCCATGTACCAGTACAGCCCCCCCATGGCCCATCCCATGTACCACGGCTTTGACGACTGGCAGCAGATCCGATACCCGCCAGCAATGCCAGGCGAGCACCCACCGGGACAAAACTTCCACCACTTCCCTCCAGTGAGTATCTTCCTTGCCTCTGCCTCCTCGGTCTCCACCTCTCCTGCGGTTTTGGGAGCTGTTTGGGCAGCCAGTGCCTGCCCTGCTGGGCTAGCCCATGTGAACAGGACTGGGGCTTCTTGCAGAGGGAGCAGCACCTCCAGGTTTGTGCAGGGAGTGAGTCACTGAGCAGGGATGTGAGCGTCTGTGCCCTGCTGGCATGCAAATGTTCAGCTCTCCTTCTGCCTTCTTTCTCTTCTTCCTCCTCTCGTGTTTTGGCAGTTGTATGTGGAAGGAGCAGGCTTGTGATTTATACACGTGATAATTTGCTGTTTCTCTTTCTTTGTTCCAGCCAGAATACCCCTGGCGCTCGCCCTGCGCGATGTCTCGGAGCCAGAATGCCCAGACAGTGGCTGGGGTGAAGCCGGTCCCCAAGGACATGGGTAAGGCACTGCATGGGAAGGGATGGGAGAAGGGAGCTTCCCACTACTGTAAAAGCTCAAAGGGGGCACAGAGCTTTTCCGACAGTGTTTCTTTCCCTTGAAACCCTGCCTCCAGCCAGAAGTGACAGGCAGTGTTTGTGCTGTGTGTAGTGCTCAGCTGTGAGGGTCAGTCTGTGCTCTGTCCCCTTTCTCCATCCTGTCCCCTGGGAAAACGGCCCCATCTCACAATTGCAAGTTAGCCAAACCTATGCCCCGGGAGGCCAGCAACGATTCTGCCTCCGCACATAGTAATCCAGGAGACATTTGGAGACAGAAACGAGCCGAAACCCGGGCAGCCTGTGGGTTTGCAGCCTGTCTGTGCTAGTGCCAGGGCTCCGAGAGGGTCATGGCCAGCTGGGCCCAGGGCTGGCATTGGACCATCCCGAGCACGGCCTCCTGCCCGCAGAGCCCTGGCAAGGCACAGGGTGCCTCAGCTTCCCGCCCCGGTTTGTCACGCAGCTTTGAGCAGCTTGAAAGCAATGGTTGAAGTGCTGTATTCACACAGTGCCTTTTGTGTCTCAGAACAGGCAGGTCCGGGATTGCCGTAACGCCCAGAGCCGGTTTAGCTGTGTTGTGATACAGACTAAAGGCAGAAGAAAAGTAGGATGTGTGTGTGTGCGCCTGTGTATATGTATCTAGGACCTTCCTCTGGCTATTTACCCCTGTGCGTATATACACATGGTGTGTATGGCTCGTGCTCGCGGCCTGGAACTGCTCCGGCAGGAGAATGTGCGCGGAGGTGAAGGAGGGACTGGAGATGCCGTTGAGCCTCCTTGAGAGCTCACAGACAGCCCCGCGGGACCGTCTCCTTCCTGACCACATTTTGGGCTGGAATGTGATGCCCGGCTTTGTGTGGCTGAACGAGGAAGACAAGGTTTTCGGGGAAGGGGAGCAGGCGTTTGCCGGCAGCGCTCGCCAGGAGCTTCCCAGGAGATTCGTCGTGGGACACAATGTTGTTCTTCCCCTTGATGAACGTTTCTGCAGGCTGATGGCACAGACCTCTCCTGGTCAACGGGTGATCCCAAGGATGCAGGTTCCCTACCCTGCGTGGGCACGGACTGGGCTGAGGGTGCTTGATGTCTTCGTATTTATTTAAGGATTGAAGCTAAGCTGAGTCTTTGTTTTTTCCTGAGAGCGTGCTTTCCCTGGAAAAGTGTCTGTAGGACTCGATGTGGGAGTTGGCTTCGACTGTTATTTTGGCTTTGTTCAGAGGTAATCTCATGTCCAGAGCAAATGCGGGGGGAACCAAATTGCTATATGAGCACTCCAGTATTTATTTACACAAGTGAATGGTATTGACCTGCTGCAGGGACAGGCGCCAAATGTACAAAATGTAGCCACTAGCCTGACTTTCAGCCTGTTAGCAGGAAGGCAGATGAGATGATGTCAAAACAAGGCTGTGGATTTAGCCCCTCGTCCTCCACATTCCCCACACTCCTCTCTTGCTGCCTGACTTTTCCAAGGAGGTTCCTAACGCGTTCTCCTTATGCCACTTGCTCTCCCAGCCCCGATTTCCTGCTGCTCTTGGATGGTGTCCAGTTTCTCAAATGCACAAAGTAGATCTCCAGCTCAAAACAAGTCTGGAGGAAAACAGGGTCACGTGGAAGACAGCAGGGAGGCCTGGAGCTGGGACGTGCTCGTCTGCAGGAGCCTGTGCCCGGCTCCTGCCAACAGCATCGCTCGCGGCAGCCCGCGAGGGTCCCGCTGCGCCCCCAGGAGAGCACGCAGGGACCTCTCCCACCACCTGCCCAGCCTGCTGCCCTCTGCTCTTGGTTGTGCTCTGGACAGGAACCTGTTCGACTCCCCATTTGTTTTGCAGTGTCCTCGATATGGCCAATGCATGGAAATAGGATTCCTTGTATTCAGCCCAGGCCACGCCTGGGTTTTGTGTACAGGTTAAGGGAAGGTTTGGCTTGGTTTTGGTCGGTTTCTCTTCAACAGGTTATTAGGAACTGTCATGATAAATATGTGGTTGCAGTAATCCTTAATAAACAGGCTCGAGATTTTCCATCTGGACCCCGGTCTGCTCTGGGTTTGGATGGCTGCAGCTCATCTGTTGTGTAATCCCCAGGCTGGGGTGTGCAGGGGCTGCCAGGCTCATCTCGTTTGGCCCCACGTGCTGGACCTGCCCCTTGATGCTGCCCTGCAGCACCATGTGCAGCACGGAGGGCAGCCACGGCCTCATGCTGCAGACTCACCAGCAGAAGCAGAGCTTGTTTCCAAAGGCTGGCAGGGGCTCTTTAGTAGGCTGCTGGCCCAGGCAGTGCTGAAGTGCTGCTCGTGCCATGGTGCCAATGCCTGGCCGCCTGCTGGGATGTGCCCCGGAGCAGGAGCACCCAGCAGCAGCCGGTCCCTTGCACATCTCCCTGGGCCCTTTGCCCTCCCCTCCCTCGCCAGGACGCAGGGCTGCACGTTTGCAGAGCCTTTATTTGGTGCTTCTACAGGGGCAGGTTGATGCCTGGGGCCGTGGCGGGGCCGGCCGCCTCCGGGGCGGGAGAGGAGCACGTCTCTGCGCGGGGACCGCGGGGCAGCTTGAATGCACTGGAAGAGCTGCCCCGCGCCCGGGCAGGCTCGGGCCAGGTCCAGCCCCTGGCGGGGGCTTTCAGACGTGGCCGTCATGCAGATGTGGTCTTCAGAGCCCGAGGCAGCCGCCCCACGGGCCTGCTGCAGGGTGGGGGTACCAAGCCAGGACGGCGAGGGGAGCGCCTGGCGCAGGGATTGGGGAGCGTGGAGGCAGGATTGGAGCGGACAGGCCTGGAGGAGACGTTGCCGTTGCGGGTGGAGATGGACTCGGGGTTACCAGGGAGCGTTCCCTGGTTCCCCTCCCCGTGCTGGAGTCTCTGCTGCCCTGTGCCCCACCGCACCGTGAGCATCTGACCCCCAGCTGGTGCCAGAGATGGGTGGCGATGGGGCAAGGGGAAGACACCAGCGTTTGGCGTGCTGCAAGGGGCTGCTCTCGCGTGGCTTTGCTCTGAAACTGCTCCAAGATGGAGCCAGGTTTTCACTGTGTTGGATGTGGGGAGCAGCCCTTGCAGCAGGCAAGCGGGAGCTGGTTCTCGGTGGGTGTGGGAGCAGCCTACCCCTACCCCGCGCCGGCGGCCGCCGCCTCTAGTGGGCCTGCCGCCGCTGCTGCCTCATGTACTCGATGATGTCGTTCTTCACGACGGCGATGTTGGCCCGGTGGTACCAGCGCATCACAGGCACCCCGTCGGGGCCCACCAGGAACTTCTCGAAGTTCCACTTGATGTCGTGGTTCCTCAGCGGCTCCCAGAAGAGGTTCTTAGGGTTCCCAAACTCCTCCGCCACCGGTGGACAGGCGTTCTGCAAGGAGCACCGGTGTGAGCACCCTCCCACGCTCCACAGTCGACGCCTGTCCCCCAGCACTGCCCGTCCCCAGGACACGGCCATGGACACGAACCTTCAGGTACGTGTAGACCTTCTGCTCCTTGGCGCCGTTCACATCCCCCTTCTGGAAGAGCTGGAAATTTGGGACAAAGCCACCGCCAGGCCGGACATATCTGTAAGTAGAGTGACCCTGATGAGCTGCACGTGACCGTGTCACCGAGCGGTGGCCCTGCCAGGAAGGGGGCTTTCCTGGTGGCCTTGGCTGGATGGGACGAGGCGCCTGGCCTCTCCTCAGGGAGCAGCCTGAGGATCCACGGTACTCACTTCAGTGCCGGGAGGATCTCCGAGTTCTGGCCGGGCTCTTGCTTTCCAAACTGGTTGGAGGGGAAGCCGAGGATGACGAGCCCGTAGGGCCCCAGTTCATTCTGTAGTGCATTCAGTTCTGCGGGCGAGCGCAGCTGGTCAGACAGGCTGCAATGCCCCCGTCACAGCCCTGGGGACCACCTCGCACCCTAGACCTACCCCTCTGCCCCCCGTCCCGAGCGGCGCGGGCCGCCTCCTCACCGAGGTACTGCAGGGTGAGCCCTCAGTAGGTGGCCACGTTGACGAAGAGCACCATCTTGCCCATGTACTTCTTGAAGGGCACGTACTCCTCGCCGTCGATGGTGAGGGCCCCATAGTCGTAGATGGTGCCCTGCACCGAGCCGTAGCACTTCACCTGCAAGGAGGCTCCCGTGGGGCAGGCGCGGGGGACTGTGGACCCGCTCCCCGCATTGGCCACCCCCAACTCCCCAAGGTCCATGTGGTGCTTTGGTTGGCACCATGGAGGGAAGAAGGGGGGCACGTTCAGGGAGGCTGAGTCCCATGCTTGTGGTGGAGAAGGAAACGTGACCCCGGAGCCGCCCCGGCCGCAGTGGCAGCGCTCCAGGCCTGAGGTCACTGCGCGGGCTGGGGACGAGCGAGCGCGCCTGGCCAAAGGGCCGCCTGTCCACCCGCAGCTGCACCGGTGTTTGCGCCGTTGCTGAGCAGGGGCCGCACAAGGCAAGAGGCCGGGGAAGAGGCCGGACAACAACGTAAACAGACAACAACGGAGCAGAGTGGGGAGCGCGACGGGCCTGCAGCACCCAGGGGAGCCATCGCCGCGGATCCCGCCGCGGGGTCTGTGCCACCTGCAAACGGGCTGCGGCCGGGCTCCCCTGGCACTGCCGCAGCACAGCACCGGCGTTTGCAGCCCCGCAGCACGTTCGGAGCCATCCCCCTTGTCACGGTGCCTGGCAGCACTGCGGGGTGGCGTGGGCAAGATGGGCCCGGGGAAGAGGGAACGGGGCCGGATTGGAGTCGCGCAGGGAAAGGCCAGGGCGAAGCAGCCGCTGCCCGGCGGCCACACAGGGGTTAAGCTAGGGAGCCCTCTCTGGTTCCATGCAAGGACCTGGGCGTCACTCGAGCGCCCCGGAGGGCCTATTTTGGGAGCGGGCAGAAGATAAGACATGGGGGCTCAGCCTGTGCCAGGGCAGCCCGTGCAGGGCTGTGTCCCTGGTGAGCTGGGAGGGTGCTCAGCACTGGGGTCACCCGCTGGCCCCGCTCCCCGCTGAAGTTGGGGACAGCAGGGCACGTGAGGGGCAGCACGGACAGGGCACCCCAGCCCCCTCCAGGCACTGCTGGCTGCCACGCGTTGAGCGAGAGCCCCGCACCCAACCTGACAAAGGGGGACAAGAGGGACCCCATGCATCTGTCCCCAGGACAGGGCAGCGATTCCCCCTGTGCACCCAGCACAGGGCTGGGGGACATGGGGGTCTCGGAGCCCCCTGACACAGCAGCTGTGGCCCTACAAGGGTCCCTGTCAGCGCCTCACAGCCCTGGCCCCCCCAACGCGAGCCCCGGCACGGTTCCCTGCTCTTACCCGCTCCCTCTCCTGGCTCTGTCCCAGCTGGATGAGCGCGGCCAAGACCAAGGGCAGAACCCAGGTGCCGTGGGGCCAGCGCCCCATGGCTGGGCTGGCTCTGGGAGCGCTCGGGAGCGCTCCCTCACCCGCCGCCTCTGCCACTGAGGAGCAGCGGCAGGGAGAGAAATAGCGGCTGGGCTGAGCACGGAGCCAATCGCCGTCGGCAGCGGCAGCGCCGCGCTGTTAACCGTGTGTGTCCTGTTAACCTGTCAACTGTGTGCGCGTCGTTAACTGTGTGTGCCCTGTTAACCCTGTGCGCCCTGGGGTGGCCATGGCACCCATTGACAGGAGCCATGGCCACGCTGGCACCTGCGGGAGACTGATCCAAGGGCATCCGGAAAGCTCCCGGGAAGTGGCACTTGCCCGTCTGGTTTATGCGACACGTTGTGAGAGCCGCATCCCGGCTCTTGGAGATAGGACAGGTGCCGGCCCTGACGGGCAGCTGCCCCTGCTGGATGTCCCCATCCGTGTCCTTCTGCCGCCCCGCTTGGTGCTCAGCCCAGCTGGGAAGCGCCCATCCTCGGCAAGGTATGGGTTGCTTTTGGGGTGCTATGGGGGCATAAACCCTGCGGAGAGCTTGGAGTCGGGATGTGGGAAGGGGAAGAGCAGTTCTGCCACTTGGAAGTGACCGGTGGTCCAAGGTTGGTATCCATGGGTATTCCTAGGGTGGGAACTGACAGGCAGTGGCATTGCTTGCAGGATACTAACTGCCTAGACAGCAAAATAAATCCTTTTTTAGTATTGAGCTATATGCTCTCTGTATAGGCAGCACGGGGTGCGGAGGAAGGAGGCCGGGCAGGAGGTGACACTGCCCTGCTGCCACCCTCTGTCCCCAGCCCGCCCCCGGCTGGCTCCCGCAGGGCCCTGGGTGGCCGCCAACTGGCTCTGCTGCTTCCCAGGCTCCCGGCCCGGACAGCAGGAATGTGGGAAGCAGCTGCCTTAGGAACAAAACAGTCTCGTCAGCCTCCCAGGGGAGGCGAGGGGGTCTGTGGAGCTGCGAGCGTGGGGGGTCCCTTGGGTTTTGGGGACTCTGATGGCAAAACGGGCTGAGGTCTGGGGGTCTTTGCAGGCGTGGAGGAGGCTGTGGCACGGGGGGATGCCCCGTGTCCTCCCTGGGCTGTAGGTACCGGGAGGCGCCGAGTGGTGCCCCAGGCCTCTCCTCGTGTCGGCAGCTCCCGGAGCCGCTCACAGCCGCGCTCGGCCGCTTGTCCCGTGCTCCATCGCGGGGCCTGCGGATGCTCCGTGGCTGGAGCCTCGGGCCGAGCTCGCGGGGCGGCCAGGCAGCCGGGGTGGGCTGCCCGGGCCTGGGGGGCCCTGAGTGACGCAGTGACGGTGGCCAGGGCAGCGACCCGCGTTTCTTTTCCCTTGGGGCGCCTGTTTCCAAGGCCCCTGCTCGGATGCCCGGGGAATGAAAACATTTACCCTGGGCCAGCTCCAAGGGAAATAGCTCTGCCGAGGTGCAAATTCCCCACGGTGCCACGAGACGGGTCGAGAGCAGGATCGTGAGCGGGGCCGTGTGCGGCGTGGCGGCTCGGTCACCGCAGGAGGTGAGGCGCCCGCCACGGCCACGCGCTCTGAGCCTCGTGCCAGCACGGGAGCCGGGTTGCTAGAAAGCAGCCGGCCGTGCCAAGGGCTTCAGCGCTGCCCCGGGCAAGAGGAGCCTCTGGGGATGGGGCACGTGCTGCCTGCAGCCTGTGTGAGCGGGCTCTGAGCATGGGATGCTGCTGCTGCCGTGAGCGGAACATGCCATCCTGGGAAAGGCTGGAGCTGCTGTGCGGCGGTGCCGAGCTTGGCTCCATGCGGGACCCAGGGGTAGGGGCTGCCTGTGAGCTGCCAGGACCCGGCGCCAGCCCCAGCACCGGGTTGTGCCTCTGAGGAGAAGCGAAGGGCTCAGACCGCCTGGTGGGATGGACTGGGCACCTGGCAGGGACCCGGGGCACAGGGATGGCCACCGGGCCCATCTATGTCCTGGGCACAAGAGGGGCCACTCGCACCTATTTGGCGGGACAGGAGAGGCCTGAGGCCACGGGGAGAGGCACAACGTCCACCCCAGCCCTGCGCCCAGGAGCTGCCCCTGTCGCGGAGGCTGGAAGGGCTGCGCGGAGCCGTGGCCGGAGGGCCCTCTCCGCTGTTGTTTTCCAGCCGGGGCTGCTGCTCTGCCGCAGATGTTTGGCAGCCGCTCCGCGTGGGAGGCGAGCGGCGCCTGCTGCCCCAGCCGCTGCTCCTGCTGCCGGCAGGCGCCTCCTCGTCCAGGGCTGCCCCGGCCCGGGGACGCAGGAGCTGCTCCAGAGCGGGTCCTTGGTGGCGGAGGAAGCCGGGCCAGGAGCGGGAGAGCAGCGGGAGCTGCTCGGGGCTGGTGACGCTGCCTGCAATGCACACGCGTGCCCGCCGTGCCGCTCACCATTAGCCACCTGCAGGCACCCGGACCGGCCTCCCGCGGGGCCATGAGTGGCCTGGCCCCGCTGCACCCCCGGCCTGGCCTCTGCTTTGGGCCACCAGGCGTTTGTCAGCTCCTGCAGGAGCAGCTGCTCCGGCGGCCACCATGGTGGTCACAGCTCACGGGGAGGACAGGCCACCGCTCCGGAGGCTCCCGGAGCAGCCGGCCCTGGGGAGACTCTCGGAGCTGCTGGGAAGCGTGCTGGAAAACAGCCTCCTGCGTCAGCACCTCCGCCTGCTCGGCAGCCGCCGACTCCCTCCCCGGAGAGGGACAAGTGGCTGGAGCGGCTCCGTGCCAGGAGCCTCTTCCTGGCATGCCTGGCACCTGCGGGCGCCGCGGAGGCAGATGCCGAATGCCCCAGTCCCCCACGCTGGGGGTAGGGAAAGGCAGGTTGTCCTCTGCAGAACGGGCTGCATGGAGGCTGCCTTAGGCCTCCACTGCAAGGCGGAGACCCCAGCAATGGCCATAGGAGGTTTGTTTGGGCCATAAGAGCTTTGTTTGGGCCATAGGAGGTTCGCTCCGGCCACAAGAGGCTTCCTTATCTTACTTGTTCTTGGAAGGAGGACTGAGAAGGGACTTCCTGCTCCGCAGTGTAAATCAATCTAAATTTAGTCCCCAAATGCTTTAAAAACAAACCTGATCTACTACACTGTCCTCCCCGCTGCTGCTTTGTTTTGCTTTGTGCACTTTGCTAACAGGCCCTTCGTTCCTGCGACCTGCAATCCTTTCCTAGAAATATTTGCAATGGGATTGAAACTTCCCGGAATTTGGCTACCGCAGAGGGAATTCTGGCCCCCCCTTCTCCGCTCCCCTGCTCACTCCCGATGATGGATGAGCGGCGGGGTGGGAGCCGCTGGCCCGGCAGCTCGGTGGGCACTGGGGTTGGGCGCCCCGTCCGCTTCCCTGCACTCCGCTTGACCCCAGGTCAGGTTTCCTGCCCAAAGCACCCGAGTTTTTGTGGCTTCTTCCCTCTCCCTCCCGCAGCCCGGCTGGCAGTGCTCGTGCCCAGCGGCCCCGGCGGTCCCGGCCATGTCCTGGGGGTCTGTGTGTGTTGGGAGGCTGCGGCCGCGGCGCTGCGGATGTGGGAGCGTGAGGGAAAGCAGAACCCGGCTGCTCTGGCCCCCACAGGCCCTAATCAGCTCCAGCTGCGGGGAGGCGCCCGCGTCAGCAGGAGGAACAGAGGAAACATCATTCCGGATATTTGCCTCAACTCCCGGGGAGAGAAACACGACAGCTCCAGAGCCCCACGCGCTTCCGGGCTGGAGCGGCGCATCCCGCCGGGCGCAGAGGCGCTGCCCGGAGCCATGGGCTGCCCGGCACGCGGGGCTGGCAGCGGTGCCAGCGCCGTGCAGGGAGGAAAGCGCCGTTTCCACGTGGAATTGTGGGCAGCCAGGGCCAGGGAGGGCCCCGCATCTGGAATAGGGCATTGCTGCTTTCCTGGGAATCAACAGCCCTTCCACCCTGCCACAACGCCACGGGTAACTCAAACCTGGTGCCGCACGAGCAGGGCCAGCAGGAGAGACTCCCCGCAGCGCGGACGGCCCTCGAGCGGCTCCGACGGCCCTTGACGCTGCCACCTCCCGCCTGAATCCCCGCTGCGCTCGCGGATTTGCGGCGCTGAGTCACAGGGAGCCGCTGCGGCCGCAGGGTCCTGCCCGGGGCCACGCGTGGGGCTCACGGGGAGGGCAGGGAAGGCCAGCCCCGCGCTGCGCCCGCCGCCCCCATAGGGTCCGCACACGGGCAGCTCCTGGGAGCTGGTGTGAAGCACCGTGCGGGCCGCGCGTGGGGTCCCGGTGCCCCCCACAGCACTGACGGCAGCAGGACACACTCACCAGCAGGAAAAATCCCTTTATTTTGTAGCTTATGCCAATCCTGGAGCTTTCCCGGCCCCTGACGGTGCCTGGGCTAGAAACCCCCTCGCCCCATTTGCCATGTGGCCGCTTCCCACCTCCTGTGTGGGGATGGGAACGGGATGGGAGCATCCGAGCGGGAAGGGCTGCCCCACGGGGCGGTTTCGGCTGCAGGGGCCGGCGCCGCGGGAGCCGCTGCGGTGGCGGCCGGGGCAGCCCCGGATTGCCTGCGCTCCTCTGCCTCGCGAGGCCGAAGGAACCAGGTGCCGGCAATGTCCTCCCATGGCTTTGGCTGCCCCCTGCTATGGGGGTAACCAGCACCAGCTGCGTCTCCAAGCCAGGACGGGCTCTTCCCTCCACTGCTTCTGGTGCAGTTTCTGAGCGCACAATCAGAAGCCACATCCCTCTTGGCTTGAGCTTTTGTCCCTACTGCCCCAACAGCTCTGATTCCTACAAGGAAATTACATTCCCAGGCGTTCACACTCCTTGTTCCTCATGTGCCAAAGCCACGGATGGACACGGAGCGGGGACACCCCAGCTGCGAGGACGCAGGTCGCTGGCAAAGGAGTGACGGGGCTGCCGTGTGGTGGGAGCGAGCAGCTCCCATGGGAAGCCCTCAGCACGGCCCTCACTCCGCAGAGCCTCGCGGCTCCATCCCGGCGCAACCCCCCATCCGCCAGGTCTGCGGGATGCGGAGCCGGCATCCTGGGCACCGGGATCCCGCCGGGCTCCGGCGGAGACGCCGGCACTCACACGATGCCGTTGCGCGTGGGGTGAGTCCGTACGCGGTAGATGATGACCGCTGTGGCCGGGCAGAGCACCAGGGCGGTCATGACGAGGATGGTGGCCAGGATGATGAGGACGATGACCCAGATGTCCAGGATGTGCTTGGGGAGGGCGGCGGTGGGGTCTGTGTGGCCCGAGAGGTCCATCCTGCGGGGGAGATGCGGAGTGGGTGACGCGGGGACCCCCCTCGCTCCCTGCAGAGCCGCAGCCTCCCGCACAGCCCCTGTCACGAGCAATGCCAGGTCTCGGATGGAGGGGGCCCGATGGCAGATTCAGGGAGCCTCCTCCCGCCCCGCGGCCCTCGCTGAGTCACGGCCTTCCCGGTGACACTCGGGGACGACGCTCCGGGGAGGGGAGGGGAGCCGCTCTGGCCCTGCTCTGCTCCGAGTCCCCACCATGTCCTCCCTTGTGGGAGCCACGGGGGCTCGGAGCGAGGTGTGTCACCATGGGGAGACCTTTGCAAAGGGGACACCCATTCCCAAGAGCCGGGGCTGCCGGCAGCTCCAGGCCCGTGGGAAGCGGCTTGCGGGACCCATGGGAATAGCAGCTGACAACCCCGGGTGGCAGATGTGTCTGGAGGGGCCGGGGGACCCGGGCGAGGGCCCGAGGCTGTCACGGGAGCCCTGGGTCCCTCGCGCTCCGCAGAGAGCACCGCAGGGACCCCCAGCCCCGGGGAAGGGGCTTAGTGCCTTAGGCAGCACACACGGTGCCAAACCTCTCGAAGCCTGGCTGGGACCCTGGGAACAGCAGGAGGCGGGAGCAGCTCCCGTGATCCCGGGGGTGCCGGCAGCGCCCTGCCGGGTGACGCTGTGTGGGGCTGAGCCCCAAAACGCCCCCCGCAGCCACCACCGGCGCTGGGGCTGCTGCCGGCAGGGCCCAGGGCAGCTCCCTGGCCTTAGCGCCCGGTTATCCGGGTTATCCAGGTCTGTGCCCTCACTCCGTCCCGAAACACCCCGCTCTGTCCCCCCCACCCCCTGCCCACCCAACATCTTCAGCCCCGGGCGGCCCCACGGGCACCCAGGGCTCTTCCTCCTCATCTTCCCCCATTCCACCCTCTTCCAGGGGCATGAGCATCGCGGGCTGAGCAGCAGGTGGGAATGCGGGGCAGGAGAAGGGGCTCGGCGCCTGGCCAGGGCATGCGGGAGCTGGGAGCAGCATGGCAAGGAGGCAGGAGCAGCGGGAAAAGCGGGAAGAAACCTGATCCTGGGGGCGCCTCTGGTCCTGCGGGGCGGCGGAGCTCGGCGGGAGCGGCGAGCGGGCACCGGACCGGACGGGATGGGAGCCCCGAGCCGCGGGTTCGGCCGGAGCAGCGCGAGGAGGAGGAGGAGGAGGAAGGCGGGAGGCTGGAGGCTGCCCCGGCGCCCGCTCCGCCCCGGCGCCCGCCGCCCCGCCTCGGCCCCGGGAGCCAAAGCGAGGGAAAGGGGAAGGAAAGCGGGGAAGAAGGGAGGGGAGGGAGAGGGAGAAGAGAGAAGGTGAAAGGAGAAAGGAAGGGAGGAAGGGAGGAAGGGAGGAAGGAAGTGGAGGAGGACAGGGCGAGGGGAGGGGAAGGCAGGACGAGGCCAGGGCAGCGCTGCGGACAGGCCGGGCCGCACGCTGGGAGCTGCAGGAGGCTCCGGCCGGCACCGGCACCGGCCATGGGGCAGGGCCGCCCGCACCGCTCTGCGCCTGGCAGCTTCAGCAGGGGCTCGGGGGCTCCTGCCTGGATCTGCCTCCAGGCCCCTCTCCGCCGCCACGGTCCCTCCTTCCCAACCAAGACGGGGCTCCCTGTGCCCCTTGTGTCCGAGGCCCTGGGCAGGAGGGGCCGGCAGGAACACCGGGATCCTCTGCGGGATCCCAGCCTTGGTGGCAGGGGGGAGCACCCTCGCATGTGGGAAGCGGCACCTCCGGTGGCCTCGCGCCGGGAAGGCCGTTTCCCTTCCCAGTGGAATATTCCAGCCCAGCGGGCTATGTGAAGGGCCAGGAAAGGGGCATCTATCAACGGCTGTCCGGCTGCAGCCCCAGTGCGCGGCAGCGGGGCGCTGGGGTCAGGATTGGGATCGGGATTAGGATTAGGGCTGGGGTCGGGATTAAGATTAGGGCTGGGATCGGGATTAGGGCTGGCATGGGCGGCGGCGCCTCACGGGTTAACGCCCCGCGCCGGTCACGTGCCCGCGCGCACCACGTGACTCAGGGGGCGGTGCCCAGTGACGTAGGGGGCGCGGCCCGCCGCCCGCCGCCAAGATGGCGTCGCTGCTGCAGTCGGAGCGCGTGCTGTACCTGGTGCGCGGCGAGAAGGAGCTGCGCGCGCCGCTGCCGCAGCTCTACTTCTGCCGCTACTGCAGCGAGCTCCGCTCCCTGGAGTGCGTCTCGCACGAGGTAACGGCAACGGGAACGGCCGCGACGGGCCCCGCTCCCGGGGGCGGCACGGGCTGCCGCGCCCCCTCCCACTCCGCGCGCGCGGATTGGGCGCTTCACCTGCCGCTTAACGCCTCCGCGCCTCGCCGTTGGTCGGCGCTCCGCAAGAGGCGGGCTTGCGGCACCTGCAGGGCGCGTCCTGAGTGGCCGTGGCTAGGGGAGGGGGCGGTGCCTCGCGCGGCATTGGCTCTTTGCGTCGGGCAGGGTGCGGAGCTCGCTCTGTGATTGGCTGAGCCTCTCGGCGGGGGGGGTGTAGGGAGGTGCCCCCGCAACCCGGCGCTGAGGGGAGAGCGGGGGGATCTTCCCCCAGCGCCCCCAAATCCTTGCGCGTTTCCGCGGTTAGTAGTAATAATGATAATAATGATGGGAATCACTTCCTTTTCTCATCCTCTTTTCAAGGAGGGGGTAGATGTTGCTTGAATGGACAAAACCCATTTGTCATATCAGACACAAACGTATTTTTTATTTTTTTCTTCAAACGTTTCTGACCAGCGTTCTCGTAGGACAGAATAAAGTTACTCATGAAATGATCAAATGGGAAGTGACGTGTTTAAAATCTGCTGCCCCATCTTAAAAAAAGGGGGGAAAAATAGTGTGTGGGGGGAAGCTTTGGTAACCGTGGAAGGTCCGTCCCCACTTATCTCTTTCGTATTTAGTGGACAGAGCAAGTTAATCTTTTCTACTTAAACAAAACTAATAATTTAAGATATTAGACCCCTTTATTTCTTTGTTTGATGACCCTGGCCAACGCTTCAAATTATCAAGAAATCTCTCAGAACTTCAGGGACTTCTCATTGCTGTTACCAGACACAACCCCCCTAAAATTGCTCGTGAGAGTTTGAGGCTGTGGCCGACGTGCTTTGTAGAGGAGGTTGTGCCAGGGAGTCTGATGTGCCTGTGGCTCCTCAGGTGGACTCGCACTACTGCCCGAGCTGTCTGGAGAACATGCCGTCAGCTGAGGCCAAGCTGAAGAAGAACAGGTGAGTGTGTGCAGGTGAACAGGTGAGTGTGAGCTTGTTTAAAAATCAAACCAGCCATTTGCAGTAGCTCTCTCCCTACTTTATCAACACTCTCTGCATATTCCCCAGGATTTGACTTCTTGAAATTCCTCAAAAATCTTGTCGCTCTCCTTACTGCTTTTTATTTTAGGGGAGCGAGTGCCTTTCTGTGATGCCTTGTGCGCTCTTGACATTGCTGGTGTTTTTGGTGACGTGCTTTCACGAGACAAACAATAACCTTTGGGATCACCCAGCTTTTTCTTACTATTAGCGTCCTCCCATTGACTGAGCTCCCCTTGTCCCCTTGATGTTGCCCTTCTTCCCTAGCATTACTAACGCATAGGGTTAGTCTTATTTGGGGTGTTAAGTGTTTTCCTAGGCCTATGGGCTCCCTCAAGCCTGGGGTCCTGGGCAGAGCTCTGTCTCAGGCCTTTCTCTTTGCAGATGTGCCAACTGCTTTGACTGCCCGTGCTGCATGCACACGCTCTCCACCCGCACCACCAGCATTCCCGCTCCGCTCCCGGACGACCCTGCCAAAACCACTATGAAGAAGGCGTATTACTTGGCCTGTGGGTTTTGCCGCTGGACTTCCCGAGACGTGGGCATGGCAGACAAGTCTGTCGGTAAGTGACAGTCAGAGCCAGAGCACTGAGTAATGGCAGGAGTTGAATATATGTTTTAGAGATAACAGATAAGCAAACTGGGATCCGTATATGTGATGTCTGTGGTTATCTCTGAGTTAGAGATGGAAATTCACAACACATTGAATTTTCCCTGAGGTTTTTGCTGAGGAGAGAGGGTGAGTTAGTGGAACGTCTGACCCAGTTCCACGCTCACATTAGCTCCCTAGTGAGAAAACTGTCAAGCAATCTGCTTTTCTAGCTGGTGTGCTGTGTTTGCAGTGAGGAAGAGCATGTTTATGTGCTTTCAGAGTCTTTGAAGCTGCTGAGTCTGATAGCATAAAAAATATAGTCTGTTTTCTGTCACCTTTGTTTATCTGTAGCGGGGGAGAAAGGCTTATTATGAAAGTTGGTGGGGGTTTTTTTTGTACTTTGTTTCGCTGTTCATGATAGAACTGGAACAATGTTTTCAGTATGTAAGACATGCAGAAAATATCTGTTGGACCCCAGTAATGGGAGCTGAGTTAAAACAAGCAGGTGCCTTTTTGACTTTCGGTGTTCACCAAATGGTGATGAAGATACAGGGATGTGGACATCTAGTAATAGGAAAGTATTTCTATAAGCTTGTGTATGGTGCTGAAGTCACTCCTAGAAGCTATTGTGACCGTTTCAAAAAGAAGTTCCTTTAAAAAAAAAATAATTTAAAAAAATGGGGGGGAGGGGCTGATGAATTTACTTCTGCCAAGCTTGCTTGTGAAAAGCTTCAAAGATGCATGTTTGTGTAGATGTGAACTTCAAGTATTGTGGTAAGTTTAGCAAAAATAGGAAGTGCTGTACTTAACTCTTAAGATCAAGAGAGCTGTGCATCAGATGCAGTTTCTGTGTGTAATCCGGAAATTGTCTCTTGAAGGTTCTGTTCTTTCTTTCTCATACAGCTAGTGGTGGCTGGCAGGAGCCGGAGAATCCTCACACTCAGAGGGTAAGTGGTGAGGACGGCGTCTCAGTCACCAATTGCAGATGGAGAATTCGACACGGTGATAGGCCTCGTTCCCAGAGAGCAGGGAATTGTTGTCCACATGGCGGTAAAATGTTAAATAGGCTTCTTTGATGTGTAGTTCTTCAAAATACAGCTAGTGATGGATTCAAGCAAGTAGCAGGAACATGAGCTTGTAAAGAAACGAATATCACTAGCCGGCTGGCGTTTGTTCCTTTTTTTCACTGTGTGTCTGTTCGTGTTCTCCCTGCCAGATCAACAAACTGGTTGAGTACTACCAGCAGTTGGCTCAGAAGGAGAAGATAGAGCGGGATCGCAAGAAGCTGGTGCGCCGCCGGAACTACATGCCCCTGGCCTTCTCGGTGAGCTGGGGCCACAGTGCTGTCCCAGACGAGGGAGTGTGGAGCACGGCAGCCTCAGCTGGAAAGATGATATTGATTGTAGTGCATTAGGCTGCACAGCTGTTTTTGAGGAAAAAATGAAGAAATAAGCTAGGGCCTTCGGGACAAGCAATTTTACGCCCATGATGGTGTGTTATGTTGCCTCTCTCTCTAGTAGTCCCCTCTGTAAAAGCCAGAGGAGTTTACACTTGCTGTACTGACACACATACTGAGTGTGCTGTCAACAGTGAAATGCTCTGCAACTCTGTCATTCTGGTGATCTTAGATTTCCTTTCCGTGCCCCAGCTGTACGAGGGAGGTGAGGTAGCTCCTACCTGCACCAGGAAGGCCTTCAGGACCCTGGTGCTAGAGCTTTCTCAGCACAGTTGCACACTGCTCTTCGGGAACACTTAGACCAGGATCATCCTGCACTTGCTTGCTGCAAAACGTTAACCAAAATTAACCTTTAGAATTACTGTGGCTTGAGCAACACATTTATTATAACTGTCACTTAAATGCTTACTTCATTTAGCCAGGTCACTCTGCGAATGCTTGCTGTCTCTCAATTAACTGTGCCTGCTCTGTGCCCTTGCTCTTGTCTTATGGCTGCATTTTTTTTGTCTCTGTTGCTACCTGCTGCTATTTTGGGGGCTGTCCACAGCAACACACTATACACGTAGTGGTAAGTCTTTTCACGGTTTCTGCTGGTGTTAAAGCTCTCATACTACCAATTGAAGGGCAGTGTCCTATTCTCAACCTTATCTCTGGGACTTTGGCTTAGGACAAATGCATCTGAAGTCTTAGCTAGTCAGAGGATACTGTTTGTAACAAAAAATGTATCTTATTACCTTATAAACAGTGCATTGTTCTTGGCATATACACTTGAAAAATAGTCCTTCACAGAGCTTGGCCAGGTTGTAGCCGTCTGTCTAGCTGAGGTAAATGTTACTGATATTAGTCTTCTGATCCCTGGAGAACTGCCAGGGTAGATGGATTCTTAGATTTCTTGCTTGGTGAAAGTTCAGGTTTTTCAGAAGAAAGATTCCTGCCACAAAACACCCTGCATTCAGTTCAGCTGTAGAAGAGCAGCTCAGCTGCTCTTGACAACTGGTAGTGCTTGAAGAAAGAGTTGGACTTCTAGGTAACAAGACTGAAGGAAGCTGGCCCTGCAGCTGCACCCAACCCTCTGCAGCTGCTGCTGGTGGTGCTGCAGAGCAATTCAGGTGGTATCACCCACTGCAACCTAGCTCCTTAGTCAGTTTAACTCCACTTCTGTGCTACTTGACATGCAATTGCTGGAAGAGAAGCAGCGGAGGATGTGCTAGTTGTGGTGGTTAAAGGAAACAACAAAAGCTCTGAGCAGTAGCCACATACATCTGTCCCTCCCAGTCTGCAGTGTGGTGGTGACTGTTTTCTCCTTACTAACAGTTGAAGAAAAAAAATTGAGTACCTATCCCTTTTTGCTTTCCTTTGCTTGTCTCCCTATGCTTGTTGTGCAGTCCAGAGGGTGAGTTTGCAGTTTCCTTAGCCTGGCAGAAGGCAGATCTGATGCTGACAGTGCCTTTCTTTACCCGTAGGACAAATATGGCCTGGGAACGCGGCTGCAGCGGCAGAGATCTGGAGCTCCTCTCAGCGCCCTCGCCGGCCTCTCGTGAGTTTCAGCTGGCATCAGCTTTGTGGGAGGGCTGGGAGGTACTGGCAAGAGGACAGTAAAACAACTCCAGAGTAGGGATGAACTATATCCAGGTATACTAAAAGACACTTTTGTTTTTGGAGAGGTGATGTCAAGTACATGTGCAGCTCCAGGTATGCAGCCTCCTCATAGAAACAAGTCACTGCTCATCTCTCTGTGTCCTTACTGCTGTCTTGCTGCCTTCTGTGGTATAAAGCAGCTGCTGATGCTGTTCTGTGCTTTAGTGAGTGATTAATGTGACCCTCCTTTTGCTTCAGTCTGAAGGAAGGAGAGGACCAAAAAGAGATCAAGATTGAGCCAGCTGACGCAGTAGAAGAAGTGGAGCCCCTTCCTGAGGATTACTACACAAGACCAATCAATCTGACAGAAGGTAATACCTTAATATTCTGTCCCTTCTTGTGCTTGCATTCTGTAACATGGGCAGTGTTTGGAAACTTGCTCTTGGGGTTCAGTTAAACAGGAAACTGAGCTGCAGTTGGAGTTAATGTTACACAGGGAAAGCCCAGAGCCAGAGAAGTCGCATCTATTTACTCTTGTTTTGTTTTATTGCTGACCTTAATTTCTCTGCATGTGAAGTGCCAAAGATCTAACATCCTTTTTCATATAATAGTAGGAAACAAGGGACTTGCTGTGCTACTGGGGAAGTGGCACATTAACTGAGCTCCTAGGAAACAATAGGGCATTGTTTGAACTTCAGTTTGAAGCATGGGAGTTATTTAGCTAGCTGGTGATCTAATCAAATACTGTAGATTGACCAAGGAAAGTAGGGAATGGTATAAAACCATCAGTACAACGTGGACTTTGTGTTGAGGTGGTTCCAAGTAAGGACAGTTGTTCTCTGCAGGCCTGCAGAGCCAGGCTGTGTTCAAGGGTTTGGGGAAGGGGGATCTTAGTTACCTTTCATCATGAGATGCTCTCGGTTTGGAAATAGGAGGCTGGTAAAGATGACAACCTTAATGGTCCTCAGCTATAGGGAAAGGCTGTCAAGTGACTTGCTGCCTGCTGGGCAGTAGGGATTCCATGGGGAGCCTGTTTTAGGAGAGAAAGCCTTGGCATATTTGGCTTCTGGAGTTTCCTGCCTTGAGTACTGTGTTGTTACTAACTATGCACCAGTCTGAGCTATACTTGCTTGCACACAAGTGATGTATTGTACTTGTGCAGTACCCAGCTGTGAGGGAAACCAAGTTACAAAACCTGCTTTGAATTTTACCCCGAGATCAGGGGGTTTGGTTTCCTCGGCGCTGGCACTCATGCTGCATTACCCTCATCATGCCTGCTCACGCAGCAATTTGTAGCACCCTACCCTTGCATTCACACGGTCCTAGAAACACTCATTAAATTAATTTGCAGCCAGTAATGCAGTAATCACTGGGTTTCTTAGACTGCAGCATGCCTGCACTTCAGTGCACTGCACACTGGTTTGTAGTGCAGTGCACGTGTATAATGCAGCTCGAGTTTTGCTGGGCAGTAAAATGTGAATCTGGTTTTGTTTTGTGTGCACCAAGTGACGACTCTGCGGCAGCGCCTGCTGCAGCCCGACTTCCAGCCAATCTGTGCTTCCCAGCTCTACCCACGCCACAAACACCTCCTGATCAAACGTTCCCTGCGCTGCCGGGTAGGTAATTAAATACAAAAATAGCAGCTCTTTCCCGGCTCTCATATCCTGGACTGTAGGAGACGGGCTGTGTATCTTCCTTTTTTAAAAAGGAACTGCTCAAATGCTGTTGGAAGTTCTCAACCGCAGTACTAGCAACAGCAGCAGGAGAGTAGCAGCAGCTTTGACTTGTGATGGAGAATGTTAAATGGCCACACTGTTAAAGATACAAAGGTGGATTTGCAGAATAGTATAATCTGCTTAAGTGAGGAATGATACTGCAAAAATCACTATGATATTGCCAGTACAGTTGCCGTTACTGTTCTTGCTTTCAGTAACAGCAGAAATTTTATGTCAGCAAACACACCAAAAAATAGACAATACAACATACAGACAGTGCCCTCGGAATGGGGACAGAGAATGCTTCAGAGAAGAGCAGAGAGCTAAAGAATGATGACAGGCAAATAACACATCCAAGTTCTCCTGTTAGGCTTAGTGGATTGTCATCCACAAGCTGCTTTCTCTGTGAAATGGGGCTATTGTTCATGTCTTTCCCAGAGCAAAAGAGTAATATTCTGAAGTATTTTAGATAGAGAATGCTTTGTAAGCACAGAGAAATAATCACAGGCTGAGCCTGTGAACCTGTGTTTCTCCTTGCCCCCTCCTCTTGTTCTAGAGTGTAGGTCACAGAGCTGCCAGGTATTGCTTGCCTTCCTGCTGCAGTCAGTGAATGTCGGAGTATTTTTAAGCCTGGTCCCAAATCCTGCGTTTCTGTGATTGCACCAATAGTGCTGGATATGAAATTTTCAAACTATCAATATTTGACACAGCCACCTCTAAGGTGCTTTTAGGTGCTGTTCTCAAAGTTGGTAAATACTGTGGCTCTGGGTGTGCTTGCAGCTGTGACTCTGCAGTGTGTGGCTGCGCCTGGTCTTTCAGTGCTCATTGAAATATCTTTGCCTCTAGAAATGTGAACATAATCTGAGCAAACCAGAATTCAATCCAACATCTATCAAATTCAAGATCCAGCTGGTTGCTGTGTAAGTAAGATATAGGGATGGGGAAAATGGTTGCCTGATAATGCTTATTTGAAACATTATTTTCATTCCTCTGTTCTTGATTTGATCTCTTGGGCACAATTTATATATCTACTTTAAAAGAAGTAATTTACAAATGCAGTGCAGTTCATCTTGGTCATTTTGCTCTGTCCTTCCTGCAGGAACTATATTCCTGAAGTGAGAATCATGTCTATTCCCAACCTGCGCTACATGAAGGTCAGTACTGCTTTTTCTGGAAATATCTTAGGGTGTGACATAGCTGAGATGTGTGGATTTGGGAAATTAACAAACAAACAAAACCAAATTGTCATGCCTATTTCTTCAAGTATTTTCTCAGTTTGTTTGCCATTGGATGTAAGGGGGCAAGGGGTGATGAGAATAACAGTATACTTGTTGCTCTGCATGAGTAGACTACACTGTGACACAGATGCATGCTAGTGGGTCAGTTGAAGGTCTGGACTAGAGTCCTAAGGTATGTCTTTCTAATATTAAAGAGTATTGCATGGCTTTATGGGTTGGGGTGTTCATCAATCCCTTGCCTGCGTGTAGTGCAAGTTCTGAAGGTGTGGACTGGTGACTTATGGAAGGCAGAAATAGAGTAAGGCAGATTTTTAGAATAATTGCTACTTGAACTGTTCTCTCAATCTCAGGAGAGCCAAGTTCTTCTAACTCTGACCAATCCAGTGGAGAACATCACACATGTCACGCTGCTGGAGTGCGAGGAGGGAGACCCAGATGATATCAACAGCACTGCCAAGGTATTGGAGCCTCCTGAGTTACAATCCCAGGTCTTTTTCAAGGTTCCCCCTTTCCATTTATCACCCCTTGGTCACCCTTTGGCATGTTGACGTGACACCTCAGTCCTTGTTGACTGCATTACATTTTCCTCCTTGGAGGCTTAAATGACTGTCACCAACATAAACATCATTGTCAGACAATAAAATATTTTGAGTATGTGTCTGATCATTGAGATCCATTACCCAAGGGAGAAATATAGAAGCCACTTTGCTCGTGGTGTGGGAGCCTGAATTAACCAGAGTAGAGGGAAAACACAGAATGATTCAGTCTTCTGTTGAGCTTTAGTTAAGCAGCCCCTGGAAGGGAAGGGTGCGCTGCTGCTTTGCAGTGTGTGATAGATCACTCCTCTCTGTGCTGTCCTTCAGGTAGCGGTTCCTCCCAAGGAGCTTATTCTGGCTGGCAAAGATGCTGCAGCAGAATATGATGAGCTGGCAGAGCCTCAAGACTTCCAGGATGACCCTGAGTGAGTGTTGTATTTTCTCTGTTCCCGAAAACAACTGTTGCTTTAGCAGGATAGCTTACCCCTTTTTTGCCTGCTAAAGCCTGATAGGGTGTGGGTGTGTGTGAATTTTATTTTCCTTAGGGATTAGAAATGCAAGTCTATCTTGACAGCTTCTGATTTGGACTATTCAAGAAATGTTTCCTTTGAGGCAGGGTGTGCTGTTGTAGCAGCTGGGTTATAGGTAGTAATACTGATTCTTGCCAGGAATACTCCGTGACATGTTTCTTTTCAAGCAGAAGGTTCACAGTAATGGAATGAGCAACACAGTAGTACTGTGTGCACAGAGATCCCTTCAGTCTTCAAAATGGAAAATGTTCTGCAGCCTCCTGCTGGGCTCTATCAGTTGTACATCATGGCCCTTCTCTGTTGCACAAGTGGGTCTGTTAACTCCTATTGTTCCAGCTGGGCAGATTCAGCCTGCAGACTACAAACTAAGTGTCTTTTATGGGATCAGAACAAATCTTTGCAAAACAATTGTTTGAGAACTTGGCTGACGCTCTGTGCTCTTTGTTTTCTGCCCTGCAGCATTATTGCCTTCAGGAAAGCCAATAAGGTTGGAGTTTTCATCAAGGTCACTCCACAGAAAGAGGACGGTGAAGTGACCGTGAGCTTTAAGATGAAGCATGAGTTTAAAAACCTTGCTGCTCCAATCCGGCCCACTGAGGAGAGCGATCAGAGCTCTGAGGTCATCTGGCTCACCCACCACGTGGAGCTCAGCCTTGGGCCAGTGCTCCCATAAACACTCCCAACACCTGCATCCCAATGGCTGGCCGCAGGATGGACTGTCACAGTAGAAGAAGGCGCCTGGTGAGAAGTTCTGTGAGAGGCTCTGGTGTGTGGATGTGTGCCAGGGCCTCCAGCCAAGCCACGAGGAGGAAGCTGCATGGGTGTGGGTGAGGGTACCCTGCTCTTGGATGACTTGTTCTTCTCCCTACTCTTATCTTAGTGTCCCCTAACTACTACTCTGTTTCCCCACACCACTACCTGCTAGTTTAACTTGATAGCACATGTTTCAGCACAGAGAAAGTTCTAGCTTTCTCCAGACCTGCACTACACCGAGCTGATTTTTTTCTTTATCAACAGAAGAGAATCTTTATTAGTCTCCTCCATCAACCCACGGAGCTAATGCTATGTGCTCAATTATGGAAGTCTTCTTTTTTTCAGCACAGACCTATGCCCCTTTCTGAGAAAACATGTTCAGGAGGTGGCCGTGTCTGCTGCATTATAGTCAAGTCTCTCTTTTTTCCTGCTTCCTAATAGCATCCCTCAAATAAGTGTGAGGGACTCGAAGATACAACTACTTCTCTGTTATGGAAAAAACAAAACCCACTTTGGCATGTGTAGCTTGCTTTGGCCAAGGTGATAAATCTGTGTTCACAAAGAAAATGATCACTTTGCCTTTAAACTGAAAATATACTGTACTGTGTTCATGGATTTGACTGACAGTCCTGTTTAAGCCTGTAGTGGTGCAAGATGGATTTGACAGCCTGGTGCTTTGCGAGGTGGGAAGCTGCTTGTGATAGAGCCCCTCACTGAGGTAAGGGTGTTCCTGCAGAGCTGCCTGCCACTCTTGGTATCAGTAACGTTGTGCCCAGGCAGCTGCAACAAGAGAGCTGGAGGCTCTCTAAACTCTGAACTTGGAGAGTTTAGCCTAGGTCCAGGATGCATAAAACTTAAAGGGGTGTTCTTGTTACTACTCAGTTTATTTCTGTTCTAGTGAGCTGGGGAAAAATGTCAAGGAGGAAAGACTGTTACACACTAACGATGCCATTGTAAAAAGATAACTTGTCCATGGTGTATCCAGGTGCAATTGAGCTCTAGTCCAAACTAAAATTTAATTACGAGCTGTGTACCAGGTAGCTGCAGTAGTATAATGCAGGCAGGTGAGACTCTGCTCTCTGTGGGGACTTTTGCAGTCACAGTTCAGACATTAACCTTTATTAAACATTTCTCATAGTCTTGAATAGGCTGGTGCTATAAGGGGCTGTTTTCCAGCCTTTCCCCGTGGTTTTAGTACTTGAAAGTGATGACTCCCTTCTGCCAGGTCGGTGAGGAAGGGCTCCTGCTGCCTCCTCTCCTGCCCCAGGAACGGTGCAGCCAAGGGCTCCGTGTGCCCAAACCCCCCTGGCCTAAAGCACGGGAAAAGGGGGTGGCTGAGGTGTGCCTCCGCGGGCCCGCGAGCGGCCGTGCCCGCAGCTCTGTGCAAGGCTCTGCCCCCTCTCCAGCATGAGTGTGTTTGTGTTTGTTCCTCCTGTCCCGTGTCCGTGTCCGCTGCTGTTGTACCTGGCGGGAGCAGGAACCCGGAGCTTTGGCCCCGCTTCTGCCCCACAGCTGGGGAGCCCCGGAGGAGGTGAGGGGGCCCCGGCAGTGCTGGGGGCCCTCGGTCCCAGGAACGCGTTCGGAAGCGGGATTTTGCTGTATGTGGTGGGTTCTGTGGCTGTTATTTAGGTGATAGGAAAATACACTGTATTTGTGGGCTCTCGGTCGCTACTTTGGGAGCTGGAGGGTGCACTGCCTCCCCTGCCCTCCTACTGCTAAACCTAGCACTAAACTAGCACTAAAACTGGTGGTTTAGCGAGTGTGGCCCTTTCCCTTGTAGACGCTTAGAGGAGCTAGGCCCGGGTCTGCTCGTGCCGCGCGTGTGCCCGCGTTGCCCGTCGCGTAATGTCGTGTAGTGAAACCTCCAATAAAGCAACGTTGCCTCCCTGCTGCCTGCGCCCCCTGCTCCGCGCTTGGGAGGCGGCTCCGGAGCCGCCCGCTCCCGCC